GCGGGCAGACCAGCGTGCCCGCCCCGGGTCCGGAGAGTGGTGGTCAAGGGCTGCCTTTAATCTGCAGAGCTCCGGAGCATCGCCGCCGGGGCCGGACTCCACCTGAGGCTGAGCGTGGCTTTCACCTGCCAGCCGGCTGCTGTAACCACCAAATTATTTGGGGTTGGAGAGAGGCACGCGCCCACGTGTGAGCGCGCCTCGCATGGGCCGTGTCCCCGCAGGCGCGTGGGGACGTGCCTCTGGGCCGGGGACAAATAGCGAGGTGGGGACAGGGACTCCTACGCGCACGGAGCATCAAACGCCCAAACCACTCTCGCTCCCCCTTGGAGCCACAGCAGGCGCGAGCACAGCCCTCCAACACCCAATTACTGTAATTAAAGCCGGAACGTGACATATATTCAAACTGGCGGCTGTCACCCAGAAACACCCCCGTGCCCTTCCCCGTGTCCCCCAGCAGCACAGTGGCACAGCCAGCCCGGTGTCCCCGGCACTGCCGGCCAGCGGGACAGACGGACGTGGGCTCGGTGGGGAGCAGAGGAGGACCACTGACCTTCAGGGCAGCACCCTGTCCCCAGCGCTGAGCCAGAGGATGGTGGAGCAGCACGGGTGGGACGGTGGCACCACCAAGCACCTCGACACGCACCGTTCAGGGCCGTCACCACATGGACACCGTCCCCACAGCCCCGTCCCAGCTGCCCGCAGCCGGGTGCACCCCACAGGACCTCAGCCCTGGCTTCGTCCCGGTGCCACCTGCAAGGGGACATGGCGCAGGGACATGCTGTGGTGGGACCAGAGTCCACCCACTCAGCAGGGAGCTCCTCCACCCCAAAACAGGGTGCTCGCCCTACCCCGAGCCTTCGCCACTCAGCACCTGCCCAGCTGTGGGTGCCCTGCTCCGAATCCATCGGGATTTGCAGGCTGAGGGGACCTGAGGTCCCATCCTGGCTCCACCACACGCTAACGGTGTCGGTGACAGCAGAGTTCCCATCCGACACATCCACCACTGACCCTTCACAGCCCAGGAAATGCCCTGCACTGACTGTCCCTGCTTTATCGTGGTGGGGACGTGCCACAGTCCCATCACTGGGCAGCAAGGCCGTCCCCGGGCAGGGAGGTGGCATTAAACCCGCTGTCACCGTGATGCTGAGCACCGCACGGTGGAGGCTGCGCCACCCTGACCTTGCTCAGGGCAGAGGACACTCCGCGGGGAGAGAGATCAGGGCACAAACCCTCCACCACAGGGCTCGGGGACATCCCCACCTGCGACACGGGTGACATTCCCACCTCACGCACACACCCAGAACCGGCTCAGCCCCGCACCGCTGAGCCCCTCGTCCCCCGGCACCCGCGCACGAACGCACCGCCGCACCGGCTACCTCGAGGTCCCAAAAAGGTGGGCAAGACTTGCCGGCAAAGCGGTGATCCGCCGGGATCTCCCACTTCACATCCGCCGACGGAGGCACGGCCACCAGCCCTCCCGCTCCACCGGCACGGCGCGGGGCAGCCTCTCCCTGCCGGCGGCCGGGGATTAGTTACTGGCAGCCTGGAGACTGAATGTTCCCAAAAAAAGTCCTTGCCCAACATAAATCCCCCCCGACTGGCTCAAATATGCAGCGTCAGGTTGCTTTCCGCTACGGGAATGCACAGTCTTATCGGTTCGGCTGCGGGGTCCCGGGGGGGACGCAGCCACCAGGGCAGCAAGCGCTGCTGTAAGAAACGGGACCTTCGGCCTGAAGTCGCTCCGAAAACAAAAGCCCTGAGCAAAAAGTGGCTCTGAGTGGGGAAAATATGCCCAAGTTCTGCCGAGGTGGTTGTCAAAGGGATGGGGGGAGACGACGGCCACGGCTCAAGAAGGGGGGTGCGAGTGGTGCAACGGGGGATGCCCGGAGGAAGCAGGACACCGAGGCAAAGCCCCAGGGAAGCTGATCCCAAGCCGTCTGGGTGGGGATGCCCCGGGCACACTGAGATTTCGGGTGTCCCGGCATCCCTCGGGCGAGTTGCCAGGCCCCTCGCCAGGTCCCGCTGGACCGTACCCCCCGCCGCCCCCCAGCTCCCCGTGTGCCGGCCGGGCGCCGGGCGCTGCCGGCAGCTCCATCCCCACCCCGCCGGCAGACAGAGCCACCATTGATGCTCAGAGCCGCCTTACCTGCCCTCC